GCTTATTATAAGAATCGTTCGAACATGTTAGATCTCTGATCAGGCAACGATAGCACGCGTATGGTCGTAATGTTCGTTGAAAGATTGTTCATTATGAAACTTTTATGGATACCACCGTGCGCTCCTGATTGCGGCAAGATCGCGAGAGTCGCTGTGATCTTTATCGTTTTATTTAAGAGGAATAAAAGAAAACCTGCTTCTATCACGTCGTGGCATTTGCTCAAACGACGTGGGTTACAACAGGATAAAAATTCGCGCTGATTGCCCCGCAAAGCCGCGCCGCGCTCTAAAGCGCCGACGTCGGACCTTGATGGGCTCTGCGCTCATTTCCTGGATTTGTGTTTCAGCGTCTCAACTGGATTTGCAAACGCGGGCTACGGTCGGGTCAGCGACAAGTCGAGTCGCAACTGCACTTTCGAACAATCGCCATATTTTCAAACTGTATATTTGGTTAAAACGGACGTACAAAGTAATGAAATGGTAGAGCGATAAAGAGAAAAAGAAGGAGAAACAAATAGCTGGAAAAGTGTACTTGTTCAACGTTCGGGGTAACCCGACGATTTCACGGTAAATCGTTGTCGCGATAGCTGCTGTGCAGCACAAATACTATGGGAACGTTTCGCGGTTCACACTGCTTGCGTAAAGCGGCGTGTAAACTGGATGTTACACAAACGATCAACACTCGAGATATACCGCGGGAAGAAGATGTAATTTCACGTTTATTTATATCCGAGCAAACGATTAAACTTCTCCCGGCGCCGCGGCGTGGAAGTGATCCGCTCGTTCGTCAGCTTCGCAGATCGATCTGCATCTTAAGTATGATGCATCGTAACTAATTATATTGACGTTGGCGTACGGCGTAGCGCTTCCGGGTTGCCACGATGGAATGTCGTCTCTCGGATCTTGGATCTTGCGTCCGATATGCCTACGTGGACACATAGTAGATCCTTTCAGGCACGGCTGACCTGACTCGACGAGCGACGTGTCTGTCCTCCCCTCGGCCGATCTCGCTATGCGAATAACAATAACTGTCTCTTCGGATACCGATTTTCTCGAGTGCTCGTGCGCGATTCGCAAGCGTGGCTGATCTGATGTTAGGACATAATGCCTATCTGCTCCTAGTAAACGCGCGTAACGTAATTCATGACTGGTTTCCATTTCCAGAGCCGATCGTAATCTTTCGTTCAACGGCCGCACTTTGTTGAATTCGTTGATACTGGTCGATCTTGAAACGGGACGAGTCATCTTTAGGCGGTTTTACTGCGTGCACCGTTCGAGCTGGCGCGATGGAATGCAGGCTCGCTCGCGATCGGATGCATTCGGCGTACTTTGCGAGTCAGATCGAACACGATTCTTTCGGCACGAACGTGACAAAACGTGACCTGGTTTCCGCCGTGCGATGCAAACTTCAGTTAAAATGAAATGTTTCCAGAGTATCGCGTTCCTATTCGCCAATTTTTCAAAGAGACAAGGGGAATTCAATTTTACATGTGCAAATTTATATAATGAGGAAAACTTTGAGCAAAACGAAACCTTGCGGTGCCTTGCGTCTCAAGACTTCTAAATGTCTCGTTCAGATCCGTTATTCGGTATTAATAATCCGATTGTAGTTTTTTAACATACATATCCGCGAATGTTCCACTGAATGTTCTGAATGGCGAATAATTTTCTATAAGGCCGCGAGATTAGTCCGAATAAAATGTTGCCTGGAATTTATGCGCATTAACATTTAATAGAAAGTATTCAGTATCAATATCTACTAATTGATCCGACGTCGAAAGCTCTCCTCGGGGGGGGTTCAAGACTAATCATCGCCCTTTGCAATCGCAAATTGAAACGGGCGTCGGATCGCCTGGGAAAGGTCGGTCTCCTTAAGAGCCGGTCGTTAATGCACGGTTCGGTTGAAATTATGGAATGCGCTTTTCGTTTGTGTATTTTTAAGTCGGACAATTGTGTGGCGTAGGCAAACGAGTCTTCCGAGTCACTTCACATCAGATCGGTGTTGCGATGAAGATCTGGAACGTGCGGTACGCACAGTGGCATGTTACATTAAGGATGGCAATTTTTTATCTTCCATTACTTGAGGCGACATCACAAGATCGATCTATCTTAAACATTTGTGCCATCGTACTGTTTTTTTTTAAATCGTCGACTTATTAACGTTTGAATTAACTCGAGTGGACAGATACTACTCCCGAACAGAATATTGATAGGAAACCGTAGGCAATAACACAAACTGTCCACGTCAGATCTGCCAAGACAGATCGGGGCAGAATTTCAGCTTCGAAAGGAGCCGAAAGTGTTGCCTTAGAGAAAGAGCTATCGATGCCAATCTAGTTGAATTCGTATAGGTGTCGGCCGCGTGACATTTGTTATCTTTGGGTCAGTATACTATACGCATACGGGCCCGGTGCCGGCGCGCTGGAATGCCGTCTTCTGCGATCGCGCACGTACAGGCGCACGTCAGTACGCAAGTATGCGTCAGAGATCGCCGTCTCTTCGATTGGAAGTGAACCAAGTGAAAGATCTCGAAAAGGAAGGCGATTAAGGGGGAATGGGACCTTGAGCGCGGTCAGCCACTGGAAGAGCTTCGGAGGCTGAAGACCGTGGCTTGGGACGCGGGCTCGCCATATTGTTGTGACTAGTAAGCTTTGCCAGACCCCCGATCTCGAGACCATCCACCACTTACAACAGGCGCGTGTGCGCTGCTCGCGGCGCCGGATCGATCGTAAATGTCGCGAAACAATACAGGATACATGATAATTAACGGAAGACTTGGGCATCGTCGAACCAATACAATAGACGTATTCTCGTTTGCTTATTCTGTCCCGGATGCGATCGCACAGTCGTGCAATGCTGTGATTTGAATAATGCACCGCTATCAAATTGTTAACGTCGCGATCTCGCGTGTTTGAAGAAAAATTCCGGGAATTTTCAATTCGTAGAAGCTGCAACGCTAATCTCACTCAGCAGTTAATCCCGTGGAAAGAATTACAGCTTTAGCAACTCGTTTTCTAATATACATAGCTTAGGATATCTTTGCCTCCAGAGCCACCCGGCATACCAGTATAGTGGCGCGAGATGAAAGATTCTCAAGAGTCAAACGTAAAGTGACGCAATGTATTTTCACTTGGATTCGCGCACGGCGAAACGGTGTGCGTAATGAATACCGTGAGAATTTTTACGGCTTGATATTTAACGGGGGTTGAGAAACGAACGCCCGCCGATTCGTTGGTAAAATGACCGGTTGAAACGTTGCCGGCACCCGGCAATCCGAAGGCGCCTGACCGTAAAGTCTCGCGTTTAATACGGGCCTCCGCGGACGGCAGCTTCGATTGTTCGTTAGCAATCCGCGCGAGCATCGCCTCCGCGCTCGCTGCCAGACGATTCTCGAATTATTCTTAACGGTTTTGTTCTCACACCCACCTGGCCGGCGGCCGGGAATCCACATTCGAGCCGTGCCGCGATTAGAGACCGCGTCGACGGAATTTCCTTATTTCCCGCTTTGCACAAAGCGTCCGGCTACGGTAAAGTCTCGGGTGAAGATCCGCCGATACACTCCTTATCGTACGATTCGCTTCGGGAATCGTGCAGTTCGAGAGAGAGAAAAAAAAACACGAATAAAAAAGAAAAAAACGGACGCGGCAAAGACGATGTCGAAATCGTCATTAGAAAATTATACGTCGCCTCTAACGTTGGAGAACGTCTAACGTGCGTGATCGGCGCATTTCTGGAAAAGTACTGTGCAAATTAATTATTATACGAACGCTTATTATTTCTCATTATCCGACCTCGTAATTCCTTCTATTATATAAACTATCTTTTTCCTTCGGGCTTTTCCCGACAGCTGTGTATTCATTAACTTGGAAAAAGGGACACGTGAAGTGTGCGAGAAATACCGTATCGCGAATGGTGGATTGTTTCTGATGATATACCTCATCGAGTGCGTATCATGCGCGAATTATTACCACCGCTCGATTTCCGGTATTTCTATGGCGAGATTACTGTTTTCTCGATCGGTCTACGTTGGCGGAGATAGACATTTTTTTTCCTATCAACTTCTTCTGCGGCGGTAGAAGACGAGTACGTGATAACGTATCTTTCTTTAAATAGTTTTCTCGAAGAGCATATATTACGCAAACAGGTATCTCATTGAAGACAAGTGCTTTCGTGTCTGCAGAAAATGGTGAAGAGCCTTTCTGATGTGGTGTTTGCGTAGAAATAAATTATAAGGGACAAGAACCCACAGGGGCGGAGAAAGATAGATAGATAGAGAGAGGGAGAGAGAGAGAGAGAGTAAGGCATCAAAAAAGGTCTCGATTAAGATCTCGTGCGTAATATCGCGGTTGCGAAGAGGAAACGCGAACGTCTAGTCATCCGCGTGAAAATACCACAGAATGCACGTTGGTGAATAAGAATTTCTCCCGGCGAGGAAGGCGCGCCGCTACACGCCTTTGTCTTGATTCGCGACCTGCCTCCGTTTTGAATGCATTCGCGCCCGCGCGAAACCGGAGAGCTGCATGGGCGCGTAACGCAAGGTGATTAATGCGTAACCTTTATAAAACTCGACGGTGACGTGCCGCGGCAGCGTGGGCGTGTGTACCGGGTGTCCTCCGGCGTTGCGCACTCGAGCGTTTTTCGGAATTTTTTTTCCACGATAGCTGCCGCATTCGGCAAGTCGAGCAAATCGTGACATTTCTCGCTGGCCGACGTATCAGTCGCGGAAAATCTAAGACACTGGTGACGCTATCGAAAGCAAAGTCAATTAACTAATTAGCGGCTCAAGGTCGCTCTGGTTGGCGATGTTAAATTTTTTTACGCAGTTGATCTTAATGGGCGCAACCGCCTGATTTGTTGCCTTTTGCTATTAGCGAGCGAATCTCTAATCGTTCTGTGCTGTCCTCGCATTCTTCCGTTAATTGGATAAATTGCGGTTTTATTGATTCAAATCATATTTCGAGCTTTAATTAAAGTTTAATTAGCGTATTAAACGGACTTACCGTTTTTAACGAACGTATCTTTCTTGATTGCAGGAGACGAGTCTTCCGGTTTCACCGCCAGCTCGCTGGAATCATTCGTGTCTGCGTTGCTGCAACAGGTCAGAGGCAATATCTTTTCTTAGTTGCTTATAAGAGAATAGCTGCGCCTTTTCATCTCGTCTTATCGGATTGCGACGGAAAACGAATACAAAAATTAATTTTAGACAATTAAAAGATTAATATGTCGTACAACCCGTTACACGCGCGTACGTTTCAGCGCTAGAAAAACCTATTAAAAGATTTAATAAACAGCAATTGCTGTTGGAATGGTTTGAGAGGTGATTGCAGCGTCATGCAAAGAAGGAGAGATCGCTTTTCAAAGCAATAAGCAAATGTCGAGCATTTGCATGGAGGCGTTCACCTCGTGGGACGGCCGAGTCGAACGGCTGCTCGATTCTCAGTAATCGACAACCCTCTTTTCTATTCTTGGTGAGGTCAATTAACCTTTTCTCCATGTGCCGCGCACGGCGGGTAACCCATATCCATAAAGAAAGTGAATTAATTTCTTTTTAAAGTTCATTCGTTGCGCGATGCTGCGTCAATGAGTTTTATAGCAATCTGTTCCCCGGCACAATTCCCACTTTAGCCGAGCAATTAATTGCATATTCTATTCGAAATAAGCGAAACAATTACGGCTAATTTTATACAATGCATATGTATTCACTTTAATTGCGTAATAAATTTCGATACAAGAATTGAAATGCACCGCGGTGGAAGTGGGTGGAAACCACATTTCTCTAGAACACATACGATCCTAAATTCCTCAGTATCAAAATAACGTTTAATAACTACAGTCTCTATTGAATAATAATATTAAATAATAATAATTGTGTAAACTTACTTTGCATTCACGTATTCTAAGGAAGTTTCCTCCTCTTCGCCGATGGTAGCGAGATTACTTTGCCAGTAATAGTCGCCGTCGTCGCTTTCGTCGGTGGTGTCTTCTTCCTCCATAACTTCCTCCGTCTTTAGTATTTGATTCACTTTTGCTGTCTTTATGTCGTCGTTCGTCACGTCGAGCGATTGGTAAGTTTCGTCGTCCTCGCTTTCTTGCACCACAGGATTATCGAGCGACGAGATACTGTCTTCGTTCGATGTAAATACTTCCTTAAAAGTGTCCTGATCCGTTATTTTAGTTTCTTCTTGATAACAACTTTCCGAGTCTTTCCGTCTTTCTTTTTCATTGTTTGACCCGTTAATACGCTTGTCGGTTGATTCTGTGTTCGTGGTTTGATGCTCCGGTGAGACTTTCTTCGAATTATTCACAGGTTGCAGTTGATCTTGCTCGGTCCTGTCAGTTACTTTATCTTTAACTTTACTTTGCTTGCAATTCAGAATTTCTGTTGCATTATTTGATTTACTCTTTGCAGTTTCCTCCTTCTGATCGGACTGCAAACCTTTGGACATTCTGATTTCGATAATTTCAAAGACCTTGTTCGTTTGTGCGGCTTCTCCCGAATTTAAGGCTTTGTCTTTCTCGTTATCAAGAGCGTTCTTCATGTCAGATTCATTAGCGAGACTCCCGTCTGAGCTCTCGAGTCTTCGATTCCTTTCGTCAAGGATATTATCTTCATTTGATGACAGACTGCATACTCCTGATCGAATGCATTCTGTGCTTTCAACTTGCGAAAGATTCTCGCTTTCTGTTTCCGTTATGTGATTAGAATCGATCGACGGAGAAGACTTAATTTCTCTTCGCGGTGTTATAATCGGCGGTGGAGGCGGCGGAGGTGGTCTCTTCCGTCTAGCCTTAACGTCCTTTCTCGGCAACGGTTTCGGCGGTAATAGAGGAGCTTCCGAAAGTTGCCTCTCGGAGGAGACAGGTACCGTTGCGGAGATTCGCGGACGCGCCTCGCTTCCAGATTCACTCGTCTGCGTCTGGTTTACGCAGATCCTATTAACGTGATTTCTAGCCGGTAACGGCGGCGGCGACGACCTGTCGTCGTTGCTTCTTCCCGTGCCGGAAACGCAGGTGGCTTCGCGGAATTCATCGTGGTTGCCGTTGACACGTTCCACGAGTTCCACGTCGTCCTTAATTGGCCTGAAATGCGTCGTCGAGTCGGCGGCCAGGTCGGCCGTGTAGAAAAGATCCGGCCGGGCCTCGTGTCCGTAACTCAGCGGGGCGTCCTGAAAGCTGAGCGGCGGCTGAAGAGTGATCGTTTCCTCGATCAACACCGTGTTCGGTGCAACGACCGCTGTAATCCGTTCAACTTCGCCCCGTGACTCCACATGCGTCACCGCCTCGGAACTGGCGAGACGGCGGAGCAGGTAATCGGGCGGATTTGAAAAGTCCCGCTCCAGATGCTCCAGCGGGCAGATCGCGCGAGACAGTAGCACGTCTCGATCGGACGACCGGTCCACGTCTCGATCGACGCCCGAGAATTCACTCGGCTGTTCGGAACCGGCAGTCGACGCCGTGGACGCCGTGGAGATGGTCGACACGCGATCAGAAGTCGAGAATCTGTCCACCACGGTGGACATGGAGCTGCCGGTATCGTCGGACGTGCTGCCATGCGTGGAGCCGCATTGCGATCGCGCATCCAGATAAACCATTGCTTCCGGCGGTTCCTAGAAACATAAAGAGGTCTTTTTTCAGTCAGATTTTTGTAGCGTTAACTTTTAATTCGGTGGATTTTTTTTTCATATATTTAATCTACTTTTTTTTCTCTCTCATCGTGATTACAACCTGCTTCGATTTCACGAACTCCGGCGAGCGGTCCTTCGGCGATTCCTTCGTGCTTTCCTGATTCAATCCATTGACGCCTCTCGACTCGCAATTCTCGTACGAGCTTATTTTGGTCACGCACTGCGGTCCGACTTGTGAAATCGACGAACCGTTCTGCGTGCCGTTCTGCGAGCCATTCTGCAATCCGTTCTGCGACTTGGAATTGTCCCATAATTTCTTGATAGGACTAGGATTCGCCTCGCCGTCCGCGGATCCTCGAGGCTGTCTCAGCTTCCTCGGCGGTACAGGCGGTGGTGCCGCGGGTAATTCCGGAGGCACTTTGCTCCTTTCGATTTTTCTCTCGGCGCTCACCACTTCCGGTCTAAGAGCGCCGCGACACCTCACCATTAACCTGATGACCAATTGCGACTCCTTCAATCTTCTCACGCAATCCAATCGAGTCATGTGTGTTACTGGTATACCGTCGATCGAAAGTACCTGCAAGAGATGTAATGTGATTGTCGAGTATGAGGAAGCGGCGCGGGGAAGAGCTCGCCCGCGATAATTTGCAATGTAAACAAGCAAGAGAGGTGAGAGGAAACCTCTCTTGAGGATCATTAGGGAGGAAGTAGGTCTTGAAAATCATAGACTGCGAAGTGCACCGTGGGAGCCAAAGAGAGTGCGTCTGCACCATCTTATTTTGCGGCTGTTCGACGAAATAAAAGTACGCGGTACACATCGACGTCGCTACAACTCACGATTTTCATTTCATTGGCAAACACTTTAATAAAGTTGACTTTTCTTTAGTGAAGATGTTAACTATGTCGCGTTGAAGTATGCGTAAAAGATCACTGCCACTCTTCCCTCTTTCTTTTTTCTCTCGTTCATTCAAGCTGCCGATATTACGCCACAGATGTGAACGTCGTGGCTCGATGCGTGCAAATAATTATACGTCAGTCATTATACCGACATTGAAATACCAGTAGAAATCTACCGTTCAGCCATTGTAATCTTCATCTATTACAGAAGAAACCTGTCGGTTCCGTAATTGAAAGCGACACGTATGACGCTCGAAAGATTTCACGTGCCGTTAAGACTGAATGAAATCATACATGTTTATGAATGTTACTTTCTTGAATTTATCACATGCATTACAGCACAAAATATCATGTCAGCGAAAGCAGAAATGTTATTAGACCCGTGTTAACGCGCGGAAAACAAGATCAAGAAAGCAGGTATCGTTCGCGTGCATCTAAGAATTTTCTTGGGAAACTAAATTGAAAGGAAACCTAAGGTACGCAGAATACCCAGGCATTTCGGAGTATTATTACCTCGTCTCCTTCGCCTAAGGTGCCCCACGAACATTTCGCTCTGCTGGCTGGACTTTGCTCCGCGCAGCTCTGCACGAATAGTCTTCGGACTCTCTCGGCGGTCTTGTTGCCGCCTTCGAATTTGAGTCCAAAGCCCAAACGCTCCCCGGGCAATCTGAAAACTTCCACCTCTTCCTCGAGGTGCCCGTCCATACCGTTCGACAGACTCTTGCCCGCCGCCGACGTTTCTTCATCGCCTTTCTTTCTGTTGCCGATCGACAGAACGGTCACAAAGTTTTCCGACGCCGGCTGACTGCCGACGCTGACCACCGTCACGAAGTCCTCCGTTGTACCCTTGGCGACATCCATTTTTTCCATTGATCTTAATTCATGACAGGCTCGCTGATCTTTACGCTCCACTGGAATGCTGGCCACTCCCTGAAAATAAATCAAATCATTGTCGACAATTCTATGGCGCTCCGTGGCGTAATCGGGTGGCAGGTTCTTATCGGGGTGAAGCCCGTTTGGAATTTGAAATTGTAAAGGATTATTTAGAAACTGTCGTAGCGGAAATCAACAAAACGCTCTACACAATCGACTATCATTTACAGATTACGGTAAAGCCGGAAATTTGAGCACTTGTAGAAACTTTGTAATGTTTCTCGTCGTTCCACATGGTTATTTTCTAATCGTATCCATTTACTCGCAACGCGGAATCAATCAGCGTACAGACTGCGTATAGACGAACCGTGTCGCATAGTGTCGAGGATCGCGGACGATCATTAAGCGATCTTGACTGCATACCGGTGTAGTCGCGTGACCAACTTAATACGGAACTTTCATGTTCTCGTCGTACCTGCTCGTTTTACCGATTACGCTATTACATATAGATAGCAGCGGGACGAATTATAAACAAACAAGGCACGCGTCGATATAAATTACATTCCGACGCGAGACATTTGTATACCTGGTGAAGCGCTAACTGTAACTTGTATTCTCTTATACTTGAGATTTGTTTCGTCACGATTGACCTCCGCTCAAGTGGAATTTTATTCCGCCGTTCCTCGACGGCAAGTGTTCCGAAAATTATATCCACGTCAATGTTATGCGATTAGCGATGGCCACTCGAGTCTCTTTTTCCTTCCTTCGTCTAAGTTTTCATGCATTTCGGCCACCGTAAAGTTTTATATTATTTCGAACATCAAAGAGGGGACTTTTTCGAAATCTCAAATGGCTCTCGATCGAATATTCTTTTTTACCGCCCACTTTCATCGTACTGTTAGGTATCTCAAGCGTCGGCGAATTACAAAGATAAATTTCCCACGTCGTCAACTTTTCGCGATGTGGCTCTCCGGTCGTCATAAACATTCTTCCGAGCCGTGGGGACTCTCCAAGCATCCCGACTAATAAATCTTCCCTCTTATTTTTCTCTCGCGGGCAGGTGAACAACGCGTACCGCCTCCATCCGTTTTCACCCATCAGCATCCCGATAATTTAACGATATGTATACCGTCCATCGTCGTGAAAGTATGTCCGCTTCCACTCGAAGGCATCGTGCGCAGCCCCCCCGTCGCCAGTATCACCTCTGATCTCGGCAGAATGTGAGAAGTAGAAAGTAGATTGACCTGGGGGTCACTGTCGAGCAATCAGCTGATCGCGAAGGTTCCGACGACGATCGCCAAATGTATTCTAGATTCGATTCTCTCGTTGCACATTATGCCTTTCATTATTTTTTTCTTTTAAGCAACAGAATCAACATCGCGATACAACGTAGATAATATATAATTATCCATTACCAATAAAGTGCACACAATAAACAGTATTTGCATTCAAAGAACTCAAGAGCGTTAATTGATTGCGAGGCCTGCAAAGAATTTTCTGCCTCAACGATCAAACTAATCGAGTGCATCGACGATGATTCTCTATGTTGCGTGCAACTCTAGAATTAATTTTCTTGTCGGAAGCGCGAGCTGATTTGCTTTTATGAAATATTTCTTCATTGATCTTGCACCTGCAATGTGTGCGTGCAGCGACCACGGAGAACCACTGGCTGCATCGGCGTACGTATATTTCATGTCTTTCATCGATTATTGTACAGTAATCTTTGGGGAGGCTTTCGTTATGTTACACGCGTCAAATAAGAATGCGTATTTGATCGACACTTTTACTTCACGCCAATGGGATTGACGATGATCGTTAAATCGGTGTCGAAAATCGCAAGATAAATGGAACATAAAAATCTCGTCGTGGGCAGAGTATAGGGAGATCCAAGGAGCCATACAAGTGCGTGTAACGGAATTCGTAGCCGCAGGCCGATCGCCACATTCTCGATATGCTGTGTTGGTTCTCGAGCGAGCGTGGGCACCGAAACCTCGTAAAAATATCGCGAAGCTGAGCCGCGATTCCCGAACACGTATTCGACGACGAATCGGGCTTCGCAGGCCTACGTCAATTTAATTCTTTGCTCGAGTCTATACTTGGAATACTTGGACGCATTCCGCAAGATACTCCCCCACGATTCGCGGATAATTGCGGAGAATTTCCGAAGACACCGGCGGACTGTGAATCGCGCTTTCTTCATCTAATTAATACATTCCATTCGCTCGCGTGGGAAAAGGTTTGCATATAACTGTAACCGTTATTGCCACCCGGCAAGCCTCACATGATGGATCGGATACACGGAAAACCAGCTGTGATAGACGAGATTAATGTCGTACAAATTTGAACCGCTCGCGTGCAACGTGCGGCCACGTCTAATACTGAACGGATAATTGAAGTAATTAGGCGCGAGGAGTGCACGAAGCCGAATGTTCTAATGAATACAAATTCTATGGCTATGAAGCCACTGAAATCTACCGGATGGCCATTAATGTTGCTCCGCAACTGTTACGCGCGGGAATGCCTGTGCTCGGCTAAATGGGATTGTACGAGCCTTCGGAATTCCGCATTTTCCTAACCATAAGCGCGACGCCGCGCGCCGCAATGCGCCGCGTCGTTATGCAACAACTGGCGCTCACCGACACGCTTCGTGGATTTTGACAACGTGTTCCATTCATTATTTAAATGCCGTCGGCAATTCCAGCTGTTCCGGAAAAACGGTATCCAATCTCGAGCGAGACATGGCGATTCGCAGTCACCGCGCAAAGAGAAATACAATAACGTCGACTTATGTGTTTCTGTACCACGCGTGTGGGAAGTAGTCGGGTTTACGACAGTTTAATTGTGCGAGGGAAAAATGCGCGATCGCCAGACAATCAAGCGAGCCTTTGTACATAAAAACGTTTTGCACCGATTTCCGATGAGCTCGATAAGTATTCGATCGGCACTATCTTGGGAAAATATCTTCGGCGCGATGAAATTAATAATTTGGCGTTAAATTATATTATTTTTTATATTTTCTTTTATGTCCGTTATCCGTAAGAAATGGTAATTGCCTCTTGCCTCGGTGTTGAAACATTACTTCCCTTGCACTTCGATCGGCAGATAATCGCGTTCAGCGCATGCATAACAATTTCTTTTTTTTGTTACAAGGTACGCTTCCTACCGCAGCATGCGCTGAAACTTTCACGGGATTGAGAACAATTGTTTATGAATAAGGGACTTGCTCGCCGATAGAAAATCACGAGGGTACCGTTACATTTAATTACATATATTGTATTAAGCTTACATTTGAGATTAGTGTCGCGAGAGATAGCTGTTCGGTTAATGGAAGATTGGAATCGATCTTTTATTTATCAATTTCACAAGAAAATAATAAGGCAATTACTGTTCTTAAAGGAAGTGGGCTTCTAGCTAAAATTGTCGAAGATGTTTGTAAAATGCGTCTCCTATGACGTGTATACGGAAGCCATATAATATATGCACACAGAATATTACTAAATGGATTAAACGAACATTCCTTTGATGGTGAGTGGTGGATATATAAGAAACTTGCACAGTATTTAATTGAATATAGGATTTCAAAATCTGTCGAAACTGATAAATGTCAAACCTTTCGTGAACGTAAATTACTAACTACATGACATTAAAGAACGTTGGACGTTGAAATAAGTTTTCAGAGTGTCTCACTGGATTTTGCCTAGCTATCGTTTTATGTTTCATTCGTGTCTGTTTTCGCAACGCTTTGCATTTTCTTCAAAGTGCAGTTAGCTCTTCCTAACAGACCGCATACGAGAATGAACAAAAAGCAATATTCTTGAGACCACGACGATCTCATCTCCCATTTCTTCGCAATGTTTCAGATGAGTATCATGCGGTACGTACCATTCATGAGCATTGCTAAATCCTTGGATCGCTGCCACGGGCCGCGTAACACTCGTACAGGTCGATCTTGAATCCACGATTTTTTAATCTCTCCGCTCGCACTCTTGCGGCCCTTTATTATGTGCGTTGCTCGGTAAAACCTTGGTCGAATATTTGTACTGTACAGACGTGATTCTATCGAAACGCGGATGTCCAATGGACGCTGTAGACCGCTATCTCGCAGCGTCGCAGCTGCCGATCGAGCGATGTACCGAAGTTAATCGGAGTCGGCTGGCGGGTTCTCCACTCGGTACCGGTGAACGAGCGTGCTCGTGAGATGCTGCGTGATGCTCGGAGCAGAATCACGTGACAAGAACCCGCGAAAAATGGATGGTTCGACGTGCATTCGGGACACCGCACCGTGCCGGACTGATGAGCCGCTCGGTAGGCTGACTTTCTTCCACGCTGCGGCCGCGCCGCGGGTTGCCCCTTTGATTACGAACACCGTCCCTCTTCTTCCCTCGTTCGCTCCATGCACTTCGCTTCGTCGTTCTCCTTCTCACCCACCGCTCGTCTGTCCCGCTCCCTCGCGCACATTCCCTTCTCTCGTTCTCGTTTCCTCTCGTGCCCGCTCTTTCTCCCCGTTAGGTCGCCAATCTCCTCTACACTGGCGCAGCGACCGTTCTTCCATCCTCTCGCTCCGGGTGTACCACTCCTTTCCTCAGCAATGTTGTCGACGTGCCGAAGCAATCCTACGAGATTCTACCGGCGTCCCATATTATCCGCAAAATGATTTTCAACAACAAGATTCAGCTAAAAGGAATCATTAGTGGAATCGAGAAACTTCTACGAACTCCGCGACATTCTATCTTCATCCTGTTGCGATAGCTTCGTGCTCATCAAATGTCGCGCAAACCACGTGGGAACATCCTTGACTCGATATCCCTGCTCTCGATATGTCTCACCGTCACATGCGAGTTTTAATATAGAAACGGCATTTCGAGTACGTATTTTTTATTCGTGATAAACCCTCGTGCTTCATCCCGGCTCCCCGTGTAATTTTCCTCGCTTCAGCAACATCGACGACGGGCGGCGCGCAACTTCGATTCCGACACGAGATTCCGCGGTGCACAACGTCCCATATTATCCGCAGACTTTCCATAACGATTAGCCAGGAGAAAAGTGCCGGCGGCAGCGAGCTCCTCTCGGTACGCCTTCTCTCCATCGCGTATATTATACTTTCCTACTTCGTCGTCGAATCGTCTTTCTCAGCCTGGACGTGAGCAGCGCTGACGGTTCCCTCGATGCGACTAATAAATCTCGACTCCCGCATGCATTTCAACCGCGTATGAGAACGTATGTAAATCTACTCTTCTCCAGAGTTTAATGCAAGTTCGTATCTCGGTGAAGTCCTCATTTGTATTCTAAAGATTTCTATGAAGTCCCAGTAAACGGCAGGAGAAGTTACCATCTCCTACCGGAAAATTACAACGCTCCTTGATGTGGGATCGTAACTGGAAAATCGTTTACCGATGCTTCAGGTTTCTACGTTCTTAATGCCGTTCTTATAACTTTATTAATAAAAGATTGAAAATTTTTTTAAAATAAATATTGTAACACACTTAAGCCCGTACTCCACTTTGCACTTAAACTTTTGACTCGCATTTTTGGAACAACCGGTTATAAGATAGAGATACGGACAGCCACTTCCGTGGCTCGATCGCGAAGAGAGAGCTAACAGGAAAGGAAAGAAGGCTACTCCAGTTACGTCAATACGTATTTGAGCGCGATATATCGCGTACGAGCGGTAATCGCGCCATAAACGCCTCCAACATACCACACGAACCATCGCTCCGCGGGAAATGACGATAACGACCGGCTTCGATGCCCATATATTTTTGCTGGAAATATAACGCACGGACTCAGCGACGAGTCGTTACGATAGTCTCGAGGTGCACTTTGTAAAAATACCGGCACGCACCTACATACGTTGCTGATTTCGCGCAGTCGAGCGTTTGAGCGAAAGTTGCATTTGCACAAGTAAAATGAATCGATGATATCGCATTGCCTGCGATGACGTGACACGTCCAAGTTACGTGCGACGTGAAAATTAACGCTAGGAGAGCCAAATTTATTCCGGTTACGTCAATGACGCCGATTCTCACCGATATACCCCGTGGGTAATCTCGTCAAATGCGTCGGACATGCGATAATGCCTTGCTCCGCGAAACCGCAGAACTCGGGTAACAGAGAAGTAGAACGAGTGAATCTGTCAGACGCGGCGGGAGTCATTGAATGCCATCCTCTTTCCCACCGTCGGCGTACCGCCGATAATTCGCCGTGCTAAAAGTACTTTCGCTCGTAGGATCGTGCAAGCGCCACAGATATGCGGGCGTGAAGGCGGTATGCCGCAAATTTGCTAGCACGACGCATGTACGCCATGTATAGATGGAACCAGATCTAAGAGAAGGAAGGAAATGCACGCCATAGTTGACGTGAAACACGTAACATTCCTCATTTAAACGTTTTACCTTAACGCATTAGGAATTGCTAAACAAAACACGATCCTTAATGCACTTTTACGATTTTGGTGTACCAGCTGAATTATCAATGAACCCTAAAGTCGTCGAGACATGTCTCGCAGAGACGTAGGAATTCCGGATAAAATTGTGTAGCGAAATGATGAGTGGGTGGACGAAATCGGCAAAATGAGAGGAACCAAGGAGACCCCTTGCCAGTCAACGATTCGTCGAACGAGGAGTAACGGCTGCAAGCCTGTGGCACGTTTTAACGGTATATTTCCATCGCGCGGAGATCTGGGTTGCTGGAACGAGCGCCGTTGCAAACACGTACGTTTTGGTTTCTCGCGCCGACAATAAAATTACAGCCTAGGACGGCGTTTTTCCTTAGTTTCTATGCACCAAGCGTGAACAACTGAACATCGCGCTGGCTAGAAAATCCTTTACGCCACTTTCTGTTTACGCAAACGATAAGAAAATGTTAACGCTAAACCAATAATATCCATATATCTTATACGTTTAGAAAGTACATAATTATAAATTTATTTTCGCTTTTTCCACCATTCGTTGGTTTGGTCACTGAAAACTCGCGAATGCACTTTCGAAATTATTTGGACGTTATTTTGAAATTTTGCATATTGTTACGTTATAATAGAAGAGAAAAGGAGAAATTTGTGATGCAACGAAAAATACTGCTCTACAAATAAGGGACACGCTAATGAGCAGTCTCGTGACCGCAAAATCGCGACGCACGGCAACATACGTTCACGCACGAGCGCGTGAAATCGGCATAATAGAAAATCGACGGCTCTGATCGGGCGGTGGTCGCGAGCGTGTCAGATTTGGTCGTTTAACGGCAACGACCATGATGATCGCGATTCCACCGGGAAAATATTCGACAGAGCCGCAGATCGGCTTGGACGTCGTTCTCGTAACGAGGGACTCCGAACGTGCGTACACGGAGGCGGTAATCGGCGCGAACAACGGTGCAACGAGGTCGCGTGCCAAGAATTTCGTCTGCTAACTTTTCGCCGGCAGAAGTTCCTAAGAAGGCGCATTATTGTCGTGCCGCGAAACGACTGACGGAAGGAATTACAAGCTCAAAGTCCTAAGCGAAGACTGGTTCTTCTACTTTTTTTGCCCCGCTACCAGTGATTCCAATCGGCAACGATACTATCCGTTCCCCAAGAGATGATCATTGGTCATCTACGAAAAGAAGAATGTATGTCAAATATTTCACAACGACGTGAGATCGGGAGGAGTATTTACATCTTAATGGAGAGATCGCGAATCCCGTGGTCTTAGAATTTTTTTGCGCACGTACCAGGCTCGGAGCGAATGTCAGACTTACTGTGCTCGTTCTGCAGCGTGTATGTTCCTTGCGGAAGAAACGCCGACAGAAATCACGGATTTCACCGCGGCTCCCTCGCGTGTGGCATCTGTTCTCGCGCACCTCGTGCATCGGGTAAACGAAGGAGAGGCTTGCGAAGACCTGGACTTTCGTGAAAGCGAATGTTTTTTTCGCGATGGTGGTAACGGAAAGGAGAAAGAGAAAGAGAGAGAGAGAGAGAGAGAGAGAGAGAGAGAGGCGCAAAAAGGACCAGTGATCGCCTCCGGCCTGCCGCAGCGAGGTAGGCAGGTATGCGGCAGGTGACTTTATGCTCGCCTGCAGGTAGTGGATCCGCGCGAAAGAGGACAACGCTCTCGGTGTGTCTGGCCATTTCGAATTGTACCACTTTGGAAGACCTAGGCAACGACGACGACATGCCGGTTAACAGGTTGCTGTACTTCTTTTGTACTTCTACTGTTTCTAGCCCGTATGTAAGCCGCGTTACATACTCGCGGAAGCGTGCGCCTGATACTTGTCTCGACTTGTGTAACGCGACGCGATAAGCACATCCTTCGCACATTGGATTAACAGTAATCGCGCACGATAATATTATCCTTTCGATTTTACAGGCATTTCTTCCCGGTTGTTTTACTTGCGATATAGCCCGCGAGGTCGCGAAAGGCCGAGAAAAGAGGGCAACGCTCTCAAACCGCTTAGAATCGTGCCACTTTGCGGACGCGCCGCGTAATTACGATCGACGTCGATTAGCGGTTAATAGGCCGGCATCTTAATCGTTCGACTTGCGTGTAACTAGATCGCTGGTCTTAATTATTTATGTAACAGCAATGAAACGTAAAAGAAACCGCTGGTAACGGTTTGATACTGCATTAATTATACACGCGTATACATATACGGTATGTGATCAGCGATGGATAAGCAGAAATTATTATTTAATAACGAGAGAAATATTTGCTTCGCAATTAGAAAATAAAACTCGTAATGATATGAAAAGAAAATAGAATGCATATCAATACCGTTGCATTTGGAATTCTATGAAAGACGGACATTGCTAATTTTCTATTTTCTATTCATAAAAATGGTCGTCGGGAATATCACTTTTTACGTTCATCATTACGCACATCGGTTCATTCGTGCAAAGAAAGTTTCACAGTGTTGATCGGCAAAATAAAATGTTCCTTCTGATCGGTCACATCGAAAGTTCGCTGAATGAATTCGAGCGAGCCCGAGTAATTAGAGAGGCAGTCTATAATTTTCGTGAGAGAGACATGAAAGTTGCCCGGAGTGAAATCTCCATCTCGGTGCTAAATATTCGACAACCTCGTTACGAGGGTTAACAACCCTGAGATTTCACGAGGCGCCGAAGCGCGGTATAAAAATACACGAGAGGGTGGGTGAAGGGGAAAAAGCGTGAGACGTTGAGTCGCCCACGGGCGCTGGACCATACTTGTTCCTCTCTCTCGAGTCGTCGCCGAGAGCGTGACGACGAAGCAAAAGGAGACGGAAAGAACGAGAGATGCTCCGAGGAACAGGTAGTAACGGTACCGCAGCTTCAAACCATCTTGTTTCATCTCGCATACA